TTCATGGAAAACTCACTCGCTCAGTCCATGTGATCCATATAGGAAACCAAGTTGCAAAATCAGCCTGTTTGCAATGTCACAAAAACAAACTCATTTACATACAGCCACCTATTTAGTCTACAGGAGTTTAGCTCCACCCATTCACACTGTGAAAGCTTTTTTAACGAGGCACAATAGACAGCAGCCAATCTGAACTTTATCAGTCTTAAAGCCACAGAAACAAAAATAGCCTGTTCAATTCTCAGGGATAAAAAGAGGCTGAAAAATGGTCAAGTAAAAAATTATGACTGTGCTGTGATTGTGCTTACAGCTCTAACCATGAATAACCTCGGTTTTAACTTTCAGCTCTAAACATCCATAGCTCCAATGGAGTGAATGGGGAGAATTTTTTTCTCTTTTTTTTTACATAAACCAACAAAAATGTCATAAGTGGACCTCAGCGAAAAAAATTTAATACAATACAAAACTGTAGGATATGGGCCCTTTAATCATAATATAGCATTCATATTTCTTATATGTGTAAATGCCACTTCCAACAATGTTAAAAAAAAAGGAAAAATGCATGAAAATAAGATTTTATGTGTTTTAGAACAAAACTGTCCATTTTTTTTTATTCACCATTTGCAAAAATAAACTATGTTAGAAACACCATAAAAATAAAAAAAATAAAATAAAATTAGCTAACATCCATCCAGCTATTTATTACTATACAGTTTACACACTTATTCTACACTAGTGATTGTCTTTTTTAACAATACTTTAGTGCTTCTAGAAGAACATCCAAGATTTACTCAGAAAAGCATACTGTGATGGAATTTATCATGATAAGGATCACATATCGTCATATCACCCACCCCTGCAGGCTCAGTGCTCCCCTGGCTGCTGATAGCAGAGTAATGCTTCTTCTCTGCACTCTTTGCTGAGAATGAGGGATGAAAAGAGAGCATCAAAAGGAGAAGCGTGAGCCCACACATCTGAGAAATGTTCCACACAGAGGCAGCTCAGAGAGTGGGAGATGTTGTTTTTGAAGTGGCTGCAGGGAAGAACCGATTAGGTCACTTAGGAGTGAGTGAGTGAGTGAGAGAGTGTGTGTGTGCGTGTGAGTGAGTGAGTGACAGAGAGAAAGACGCAGAAAGGGAGAAAGTGGGAGGAAAGACAAGAAATAGAGACTGACAGAGAGTAAGAGGGGGAGAAAGAATGAGCGAGAGAGAGGAAAAAGATACATGAGATAAAAAAGGACTTAGGGACCCATCTGGACTGAGCTGCACCACCAGTTTTGTGCAAGTCTGTATGAAACACTAGTTTGTTTCAAACTATCCTTTTACTAAACTTTACATTTACTTATTCTTTAAAATTTCCTTGTGACAAGCAGCATCAGTTTAAATGTTTTACAAATGCAAATCATCACTCAGTTGGACCTATGGATGTTTAGAGCTGAAAGTTAAAACCAAGGTTATTCATGATTAGAGCTGTAAGCACAATCACAGCACACAGAATTTTGCATTTTAGCTTAGTTATGTTAAGCCATAAGATTTAAGTTTTGGGGAAATGTGTGATTGCACACAACAGGCTGAAGAACATTCTGTAACATTGGTTGTGCTTTGGAACCCTTCCCCATGTGGTTTAATCTGATAACTGAGCGTGCTGGAAGAGCATTGGTAAAAAAAACCTGGTAAAAGATGTGTCTTCCTAGGTTGTGAGTGAACTATCTACTATTGTCATCATATCTTCACCAGTGTAATGTTGATTTTGCATTACAGACCTAAACATGAAGCCAGCTCTTCTTTTTGAGAATATGTGTGTGCTGTTAAAACATACATATCAATGATTTGATCCTAGAAACTCCCACAAAATCCAACCCAGCACCTCTGACTTTTAAATTATTATTTAATTATTAATTATAGGCTTTACAGGGTGATTTGCAGCAAAACTCGCTACAAAAAGGTCTTACATTGTTTGTGCTTTCAATGTATTTTCTGTTAATTTCACTAACACTTCACTTAGACCTGCTTAGGGGAAGATGCAATTATATAGTAACTACTAAGCTCAACATAAAAACTAGTTTGTATAACTGAATATATGTTCAGTTATAATGAAAAACACTTTCATTATAACTGAACTTATGTACAGCTGGTACAGCTAATCCCAGGTGAACACCTCCAGAGCTGCACTAGGTGTCAAAAGGGTTCTTTGGAGCAATGCCATAAAATAAACTGCTTTTGGTTCCCTAAAGAACCCGTCTTCAATGGTCCTTCAAAGTTTCAGTTTTGTAAATGAGATAATAGTGTAAATGTTCTATACCAATTAAAGATTTTTCTTGTACCAAACATCCAAGCCAAGAACCATTTAGGAACCTTTAATTTTCAGAGTGTAGCCTAAGAGAGGCTGGAAGCAACAAAAATGCAGGCATGAGCGTCTTTGTGTTTGTGTCTTCTTGCGCACTCATTGCAAGCAATATCAGTTCACTTGGTGGGTCATTAGACTGGGCCTCATAAAGTCCTCATGTTAGCTCATCTCCTCTGTAATGCTAGATATCACATTCCTTCTCTCCATTTAATCCACACTACTAAAGGTCTCACTTCTTTTACGACCTGTACTGCGAAAGCCTGTCTCATCTGCTCACATTTTCGTATCTCTCTGAGCGCTTTTATTGAGCACAGCTTGAACAGCCAGGCTTTCCCACACACATCATTCATCATCAGGGGTGCCACCTCGTTCCTGCAAAGAGTTAGAGTCCTACGTTCTTTCAGCGCCAAAAGACATACGGTTTTGCTTGTGGGCACCTTCCTGAACTTCTGTTCTCATCCATCTCCTACAGGATCTGTTCTCTAGAACACAGCAAAAAAAAAAAAAATCTGCAAATCCATAACCATGAAGATAAACAAACCTGATCTGGACTGGGTTGTTAACCACGGCGAGTGCCAACACCAATATAAACTCGGCAAGGAAGGATGTTGCCTTCTCGCTGTGGCAGGTGTGGAGTTGCCAGGACAACAGAGCCCAGATAGGAAGCGGCAGACACACTGTCGTCCAGTTGTCTGAGAGAACATATCATCTTTTAATGAGCCTGACAGACGCACTTGGCCTTCTAACAAAACCGCAAGCCAAACCTTCCCTCCTGTGGCATTTAGCAAGTGCTTATTAGTGGCGGGTGTTCATCAGCGAACTCTCTACAACTTAATCCGCACTAAAAACTTTGTCTAGATATGTGCGGTCTGGAAAAAGGGTTCCTTAGAAGGCAAACTTGTTGCATCATATATGGTCACTCAATGCATACATCCACTCAAGTCAACAGAAAATGTAATGCAGTGAAGAAGACTTACAGAAATTATAAATGAACTAGTGCGACAGGCAAACTCTAGATGGACTGTAAGTCGGTGATCGCCACTATCCTGTGCCGTTTTTCAGCCTGCTTGAATGCATGTTCAGCATTTAAAACATTTAGGAATTGGTTACTAAGGCCAATAAGATGCTTAGCTTTAGACAGTGGATAAATGTGTTTAGGTAAATGTGATGTGTTCAACTGTTCTGTTGCTGCTCCAGCTCTTTTGGCCTCCCTCTGAGACTTCACGACCCCCTCTAAGGATCTTTATTGCAGTCACTCTAGGAAACATCATCCAAGAGAAGCAGCACCAAATGCAAAAACACTGCAGCCCATCTGAAGTACCTGAAAAGTTACTTCATCTCCACTCACACATGCCATTCCCAGTAGGCACTGTAATTCATTGGAGGTTGTGCTAAACACAGTTATCCAGTGACATTAAAGGGGCATTCCGGCCTAAAACTAGGCATCAGTAAGTTATTTGTTGTGTCATGCAATATTGTGTAGCACAGCATTGTGTCCCTCAGCCTCAATGGTTTGACAGAATTCACATTTTTATATCATTTTCACATTCAAACAGCCCGTCCACATCTATCCACCCAAAATTTACTTCCACCTTCAATATACATCATCAGAAGTGAGTTTTCCCAGTCTTTAAAACAGGAAATCTTGCTTTTGGTATCTACTATGGTATCAATGGAGTAGGCATGGTTACAAGACATGGTAGCCATGGTTCATTTTTTTTATTTTGGCTGGGGTGTCTCGTTGTGAACCCATTCGAAATGCTTAAACTCAGTCAAAGAATAACCCTTCCTATACGCTCTACATATAAGTAGACTAAAAAAAGTGAACTGCACAACTTTTATTTTTAAAAACTAGACATTAAAAACTCATGTCTAAACACACAAACACTGTTATCCACTAGCATTAACTAAGCATCTTTGTGAATTTGCATAGAATAACCCATTCCAAACTTTAAATCTAGTAAAAGAATAACCCATTCTGAATGTTCAACATTTATATTTATCCAGGTAGACTAAAAGCATTACATGTACATCTTTATTAAGACACATTGGACATTCTCACACTAAACACACTATAAATAGTTACCCACCAGCATTGAACTAAGCATCCTCCTGAATTACACTTTTAAACTACATAAAGTAAACAGTAGAGTCATGAGTCCTATGCAGAACCATTTCATGCTTGGTTCTTTTCATGGTGAAATGGTTCTTCAGATTTGACGGAGAATGTACTGCATATGGTTTTATGTAAGCCCCAAAAAGAGTTGTGCTACTTTTACAATGCCAAGCTTATAACAATAGAAGAATCCTTTTGGTGCTATATAGAAACACCTACAACACATTCCTCATCAATCTGACGGACCTTCTTACCATGGAAAGAACCATTTAAGAACTCATGGTCCTAAACAGAGTCATTGCCTTTACTGAAGAACCCTTGGAGAACCATTATTCTGTAAGAGTGGTAAAGAAACCCATTCAAAACTTAACTCAGTTAAAGAGCTCTAACAGCTTATGTATTCATTCAAATGTGCTAAAAAGGGTTTTTAAGACAAACTGGACATTCTCCCACCATACCAGCACTGCAGGACGCAAAAATATTATTCGCCAACACCAGCTCTGTTACTGGATAAAGGATAAACACACAGACATCTTACCTTGAAGAAGAGCAAAGCCCACCACATGAAGAGAAGTCCTGTTCGCTTCATTCTAGCTCTGACAGTTCAGTTCTAGGAGAATTCACAGTGCTGAGCCTGGTGGACGCTGGAAAATGCGGTGAATGTGTCTCTTCTCGTAGTTCTCGCCGAGTTTCACCTCACTGGAAAAGTGCTTTCTGACATGACATGTCATATTTGCTTCCAGATTGTTGTGGCCGTGGAGCACGTTGTTGCTAAATTTATGTTAGCGCGTCAGTGAGGGGCTCTCCTCTCCCACCTTACCCTCTTAAAGAAACAGCATCAGCCCGTCCTCAGTGGAGAGACGCTAACGCTCCCGCAGACTAACGGCTTTCCGCGCACTTTCTCCTGTCTGTTTTGGCTCGCTTAGCGTGTTGGTGAAAGAAAACCGACAAGAACTTACATGAACGTGGCGGCCTGGCTAATTAGCGTTGGTGTAAAAGGCGAACCGGCTCTCATCTCTCCTCACTCCTCCTCAAGGCTGTTTATGAGAAGAAGCAGTGGCATTCTTCCCTGTATCAACAGCAGTCTTCCTCCTTTCACCTCAGCCGCTGTGATAAGTGACTACCTCAGGAGCTCATCACATTCCAGCACCGGAGAGAAGGAGGGAGGGGAACAAAGTTAACGTGTATTTGCAAGATCATGTTTGTTCAAGCAAAAAGGCAGGTGAAAAGGAACGTAATGAGCAGCTTAACTTCTCCTAGCAGTTTCCATTAGGTGTGTAATCTCAGTTCCTGGGTGATATCTCTGTAAAATCTAATTTAACTGGATCAATAAGCTCTATTCATCTCACTGTACTCCTCCACACTAGACAATGGTAAGGGGCGACATGCATTTGGTACGGAGCCCCGCTGGTGACATCCTGCATTAATAAAAATACAAGATAATCAAGTCGTGGCGTGGGAATGAGATCCTAATACGTGGCAACAACTTAGTAAGGTGTAGGAACAAGGTCCTAATGCATGGCCATGGCTTAGTATGGCATGATCTTGTTCCCACACCTTATTAAGTCGTGGCCACGACTTAATTATCTCATTCCCACGCCTAACTAAGTCGTTGCCACGCATTAGGATCTTGTTTCCTTGTGTTAATAAGGCGTGGCCACGCATTATTTTTATTTATATGGGATGTCACCAGCAGGGCTCTGTACATTTGTTTTGGTTATAAGTGTGCTATTTAAAAGGCCAATATCCTACATTTTTCTTTGCATTTTATTTTTCGCTCTAAGCTTCATTTATGACATATTATGGTTTTATGTACCAAAAACAGTCATAATTTGTTTTTGTGCGATCATTTCCAAGCCTCTGTCTACATCTTAGAATGAAACATGCTGCTGTTGTACTGTACCTTTAAGACTGACATATGTAAATGATCTCTGTTCTGATTGGCTGCCCTGTTTTGTACCTCATTCAAAAGCAGTCTGGGCTAAAACATGTCGACATGAATGGGCATTAAATTGCTGTAGGCTGAATCGGCATATATTTGTATTTTTTTTTAAGACATCACAGAAACAATGAATTCAAAAACAAACTTTTCGCAGCTTAGTAAGTGTACAGTTGGTATATGGACTGGGTAATGACATAGACGTGGCAGGTTTTGAAACTTTACATACTCAATCAAACTCTTTTATTAGGAAGAAAATGAGCAAGATTTGGTTTTACAAAATATGGGCCCTTTAAGGAGCGCAGGTTCACAGTAATGACAGCGTTTGACTGAAATGGCATCTACATTCTTACCTTTGGTGAAGCTCAAAGGGCCATGCATGATGCACTCTGAGAGGAGCACAATAGAGCAGGCATGTCTGGTATGAGCTACCTGAATTGCTAGCTGACACGCAGCCTTCAGTCCAGCTTAATCTCTATTAACACGCCAAGCACAGGAATTCAAACAGCCACATTTGAACTCTCTTGCGTGTACTCTCCTTACCTGGAGAGGGTAACTGATGCCCTGAGGGGCCATGTGAAGTGCGTTTTTTAGGAACATAATAGTGGTGATTAAAACCCACGTTGGTAGAAGACGTCGTTCAGCAGATCTGAGACCAGTTTTAAATGTTGTTCTTATAATAACTTTGAGGATTTAGGGAAATAGGTTCTTCCCCTTGTACACAATAAAGTAATTAAGTCTTTTAGTCCAAATCATCATATGGGCACAAAGTGCCGGCCATCAAAGAGATTAGAGTTGAAAAAGTAAGGATAGAAAAAAAAACACCAAAGAAAGAAAAAGCCGATGGATCATCATCAGATGATGACAGACACGAGGGTGTGTACAAAATTGACTTAATTCTCTACAATCTTAAAGTCTTAAAGCTCTTGATTAAATTTTAGTCACAGTTAGAGCTTAAAATATTTATCCAAACCTGACGGGACATGACTGCTCATGCCAGGTTCGGACATCATATCCTAGATATGTGGTGTGCTCAGGTAGAGATTTCACGGTCGGGTTTTCATAGGCTGCCTCTCACTTCTCCCCCTGCTTTAGATTTACACAATTCACCTTTACATTTTTCTTCCACTCTACTTTCACTACCTTAAAGGGGACTCAAGCTGATTTTTTTAGATTTCTGTAAAATTCAATCATTAACATGTAAATAAAGTCATTCAGGGTGGTTTGATGTGAAATGCTTTGTTCTAGAGACACTTACTGAGACAGGATGGTTCACAGTGATGGTGATGGGAACCAGATATCTAAAGAGTTTAATGCTGCTAAAAGTTACCTCACAAAAAGTAATTACATGAAATCATTATGAATAATTTGCCTGATGTCTCAGACATTGTTTTATGTCATTTTTGAGAGAAAGGTTTTTTCTTAAAATGCAATTTTTAAAATCCATTCATGGCAGAGAGGTACATGCAGGACGTTGTAAGGGAAACAATAAACAATAGAACTTATTTTTTTAAATTTACCACTATTTTACTGTTATCAACATTATATTACATTATAAAAACTCAGAAGGCACATGTAGATTCACTAGTAGAATGCAGCATTTCACATCAAAATGAATTACTTTTTTACATCTCAAGGGTTATGCAGAAACTTTGAAAGAATTGGTACAATTCCTTTTTTAAACGGCCACTCTTGTTGTTGACAGTTTAGCACTGAGGTCCACGAAGACCTCACGAGGACCATGAAGATGTGCTTCATGTAGGTTTCAAACAAAATTTTGTCAGGCTCAGGTCAAGTGTAGACTTTAAACCTGGTGCTGTTGGTTGTGCCAAGCTTGAATAGAAAGTTCTTAGGCTCTTAAAGAATTAAAACTTAATGGTTTTGCTTTCTAATAGGAATTAGCTTCATGTTTTCCAATAGAGACAGTTTTCTGTTGAACGTCTTTCGATCACATTTATGAAAGCATCAAATGCATTTAGAATTAGCCATTGGTCACCTGTTAAACTATTAGGATCATTTACATTGTGATACCAACCCAGTGAACAAGCTGAAACACATCACAAAACTATCGGGAACCAACAGAATCACATAATGGTTTCTGTTTTTTTCAGCAGGGCTGGTTAATGCTCTCACCATACCTGTGGTACATTCAGTGCAGTGCAACATCAGATATAATTGTGAATACTTTGAATTCATGCTGACTGATGATGCATGGCCAAGAATTCATGCTGTAAGGGTGTTTGCTACTGACAGATTTCAGGGGGGGCGTTAACTTGACTGTGCTACCCTATGTGTTAAAGTACAAATTTCATAACCTTCACAAATAAAATCTAAAAATATAAGATAACATTTAATGTTAAAATCACAGCTATGGCCAATATGATGCGTCTTTCTTGAGTTGTGCATGGCGATGCCTGTATTTGTATATGTGTTGTTGGGTGTAATACTCCCTCTGCTCTTGAACTGTTTGACACCAAAGCAATGCTTTGAGTAAAATTAGCCTGCCATGTGCTGCATGACGTGCTGCTGTGTGGCACTTACAACGTGCATCTCTAAAGAGAAGCTCTATATTAACAGGTCATTAGATTCTTTACTGCATGCTGAGCATGTAACAAAAACTGCTTTGGTAAGTCAAAAAAGAATGTTAACAACAGAGAGGTCTAAGGGTAAAAGGTCAGGTTTGAGAAGGATCAGGGGTTATAGAGGACAGCTCAACGTCCATGTTGTTCTCTGGGGATGCTTCAGTCATGACAGCATAGCATCATTGTCATAACAAACCCTCATATCTCTAAAATCTTTAAAGAAGAAAAAACCTAAACTTTATGTTTGTTAATGTAGCGGGATTTTAGCACAGGTAGTTTTGGTATGTTACAATTGGTCCATTAATCATTAAATTAATTATATTATATCAACAAAGACAGATGATGTTTTCAAATGGTGTAGAAAAAAATCCACTTTGACCTGTATTGAAATAAAAAGAGTACAAGGACAAGATATTTAATGTTCACTTTTACCTTGCCTTTAATAACTTCATTATTTTTTGTCAATATTTTCTTATTCTGAAATTGATAGCTGCTATGTTCTATGTTCTAAAAAGTTGAGAATGGCAATTTAGGACTAGCAGTGTTGTGTTCAAAATGTTCAGCAAACATGTTGAACAGGTGATGCCATCATGCTTGGACATAAAAGGAGCATTCAGGAAAGGCCTATTCCTTAATGAGCGAGGATGGGTTGTGGCTCGCCACTTAGCCAAAAAATGTGTCAGTGAATAATCCAGCAGTGTAAGAACAACATTTCTCAACAAGCAATTGTAAGGATTTTAGATATTTCACCTTCTATTGCGCATAATATCATCAAAGGATTCTGGAAACATAATGGACATTATGTTCTCTGGGATAAAGAAGAAAATCTTATTGTTACCAGCATAAAGTTCAAAAGTCATTGTCTGTCAAGGCACGGGGTGTACTAGTGCTCATAGCACGGCTGACTTCCACATCTGCGAAGGCACCAACACTGAAAATTATATACACATTTTACAGCAACATTGATTGCCTTCTAGACACTGTCTTTTTCAGGGACGTCCATGTAAGACACATTCTGTACATGTTACAGCTGTATGCAAAAATGAAGGCCTCATATGGTTGTACAGCTGTCAACATTCTTACTACCAACATTCCTTACTATCAACATTCTATACATTAAACAATGGTCCAAAGCCATTATATGTTTGTTTTTGTCACATGTTTAACATAAAAGCTCACACTTCATTATCCTTATTATCCAAATAAGATTAAGCGCACACATCCAGTGCACACTCATAAACGCACACTCATATGCACTGGCTGGCACTAACTCACAGAAGCTAAAGTACAGACGCAGTCCACATCCACAAACATACACGCATACCTAAGCCCTATTTCTCAAAACAAACCCGTCCTGACTGCTCTGATGATGAACAGCCTCGCTGGTGGCTCCTCTCATCTGTTTCCGCTCTGATTTACCCCCCTTGGGTATGTAGCTGCTCTCCAGGGTGGTTAGTACGGCGGGGTTGCTGGGGATCTGTAGCTGGAAGGAGAGGAAGTCTCCTGGCCTCGCTGTCCAAAGAATGCTCAGCCTGCAGTGGACGGTTACCTGCCTCTCTGTCAGCAAGTGTCCATAT